TGAAAAATGCAGCAGCCAAAAGAATTACCAATGTCATCTTGAAGTCTTAGAGGTACCCTATACCATAGTTCTACAAGGAATCCTTGACCATAATATTACTGCTTATGATTTAGACCTCCTCCCCCCACGACAATCATACTTTCTGAAGGAAAGCTTCCGACTTTCCCTGGTTACCTTGATGAGATGAGGGTTGCCAGGCGCATCTGAGACAAGAGAATGGTTCTGCCGGAATTTAGCACACTCTGATCCCTGAAAACTCCTGAAAGGGGGTTATACGGGGGATTATATAGGGGAGTATAACAGGGTTTGATACTACGAGTTTGGACTATAGCTTGTTTATGTATGACGCCCGATAGATCTGCACTTCCTTAGGCACATGATATTTCTAGGTGGGCAAATGGAACAAGTGGGAGAAACCGAAGCTAGACATCAGCACATGAACACGCAGAAGCTACAGATGTTTACGCCAGCATGTGCAAATCTGTGCTCAGAGTTTGGACTGGAAGTTGTAAGTTCTCCGAAAAAGGAAGTAATCGAGCATGACCCTTTCAACCCAAATTTGCGGCACACCGGCAGAATGTCGATGAACCACATACAGTGAGTGCACAGCTGCAAAGGGCGTCGGGCTATCCCAACCTGGTTCCCGGAGTCGGGATAATGCAGCCTGCCAACCACTTCGTGCGGGCACTTTGCGCTTTGGTGGCAGACGTCAAAAATGCTGTGGCGTTGCGCTCAGCAAGTCGTGCTTCAATCTTGCAGTGGTTAGTAATGGCGAAAACTACAGTACACGGAAACCTATACTACTCAACATGAACAAGTTCTGTCGCATCATTTGCAAGAAAATTATGTCTACCATGTCGCCTGGTATGATGCGCGCTGCTCACTGAAATTACTTGTGAAATTTACCTCCAACCCTGTAGTTGTTAGCAGCAGGGCCAATTTTGTTTGCCATGAGTCTTTTCCTTTCCCCACTTGGCTTTGGAATGTAAGCGGTCTTCAATAGAGAATGGAGGTAACATCGGTTGCCGAATACACTCTCAATTTGCTCGCCTGCTTCGTGGCAACATGACTTAAGATCGGCGTCTGCCTATGCCCTAGGTTCTCATATCCTGAAGAAGGTTGCTTCAACTTTGCAAGAGATTGTCTGGCAAGGCGGCACTGTTAAAGCATCACTTTTCAGATGGCACTACCACCCAACAGATTGTAATCAACGGACGCGCAATGCAGGCCTCAATGCTTATGCCTGCAGATTTTGGTTGACCAGGTTTCAGAAAACCTGGATCGCAGCTTGAAATGCAGCTATGGTTGCATGGCTGTGCGCACAGCTCCAATAGCGGTGAGCCCGACTGTGTTGCAGAATCCTCCTCCCCCCGTGGGCCTCACCAAATCAAGCTCCCGAAACTCCTCGATGAGTTCCTGGCATGAGACCAGCTTGGATGGTCTTCTGAGTTCGTAAGTCTAACTACTAGCCCCCAAGCCCGCTATCATAAGCCCCATAGCCCTTGGTAAGTAGACTTGCTACAGTCAGTCACGAGAGCCTCCAAGAACGTGCTTGGGGATGGCAAAGGCTTCTCGGGGCTACTCGGCTACTCTGATGGAATCTCATTAGTAAAGCATCAGTGCATCAATCTTCTGCACTACTCCCCAGCCAGTCTCGTGAAACCAGACCCATCCCATCCATGACGCCATGAGCCAGACTCTCAGGATACCCCCACATGTATACCTATAATCTGGCCTTGCGCATCTGGGCTTCAGAAACCACATCCCTACTCTTCTAAACTGCCCTCTGATATCCCTGGTTGGTACATCAGCCAGGAGCCCAATGTGTCTTCCTGAAAGCCTTTTGTTGAAACTTTCCACCATCCCTTATCTTCAACAACTCTCACAGCAGCGCGCCCTCGCAGACATGTTGGTCTCTTTGCGACACCTGGCCAACAACTTGTCTCTTCTTAGTAGCAAGTGGAAAAAAAGACAGCATGGGTGGTTGGGCTTTATGATAAGGACTCATACCCGCATTCCCTGACGGCAAGTATCTGATCTTAGATGGAATACGAAGCATGTGAACCATGGCTACAATCAGACTTACAATCTGCCCCAAATTAGCGCCGGAAACCACAAAAAAAACCGCCACAAAAAGGGCGAAGCAGCCTGGTAGCAGGCTCAAGGCAGAACTCTATCCAGTAAGGAGGCATAGCAGCAAAAGGGCTCCACCCCAAAAAGAACTACCGCAAGAAGACACCAGCAAGACTTGCGATGCCTGTACGCAACGTGACTCCAACTTTGAGTAGCAAGGATACCTTTGAAGCTCTATGCTGGTAGTGTAGCAGCTGCAGAGCCAAATCATAAGATTATTGCCTGATCCTGCATCTTATGTGCCCTTGAACCAAAGGTTTGCCAACCAGCTTGCTAAAGCTTCAAACCCGAAATGAATCATCATCTTCTCAGAACCAACGTGTCTGACTTTTAGCATGTCAGTCCGAGGCGAGTAAACATTCAAGTTGTATCCAAGATTGCTTAAGTTCAGCCAGTCTAGTCGAGTCTAACTACCAAATCAATCACAAGCAAGTTCTTGGCATACATCCTCTCATTTTCTCTTACTTGCCAGGCCCATGCTGGTCGTGCCTGAGGAAGTAGCTGTTGCGCTCTGGCGCAGGCCCGCAGACCTACTGCAGAAGCCCCCTTGCTGGGCGGTTATGGGGAATGTGCGTGGGTGCATCTGGTTTTTTACGGGCCTAGGGCTGACTAAAAAGGGGTTCCAAAAATTTGATCATCCTCACTGTTCAGAGCTGTTCTCGCCTAATTTTGGGAAGCCCCTAAATCACAACATATCCCCAGTGTGCATTTCAGTTTCCATTGTCTTTTCCATTTCATTCTCCACTATCGGGCTTATATATCCCGATATAATCCTAAATACCCGTATACAACCCCACAGCTGAGACACTACTTACTACTGCTACCACTACTACCACCACCACCACCACCACCACCACCACGACCACCACCACCGCCACCGCCGCCGCCGCCGCCACCACCACCACCACCATCACCACCACCACCACCACCACGACTACTACTACTACTACTACTACTACTAGCCGCCCCCCCTACCAACTATGTTTGCTTAAATTGCCAATATAAATATGGAAGAGGCGGCATTAAAAAAACAGTAAGCAACATGACAACGAGGTGTTTTCCACGCAGGATGCTGGTTAGTTCTCGAAGGC